ATACTTTTCTATACAGAGAACATTTTTGTACCAAGTCATTCAAGGACGACTCAAAGGAGCTAAAATAAGTCACATGGTTTCTTCCCATGCCTGCTGCTGATGAGCTGTTTGACCAGTGTGGGAGAGACAAAACAAGGGAGTGTCATGATAGCACCTTCCAGCTAATCTCTCAATTACTACCTTACTGCTACTGTCAGACAAAAGACAACAAAAGCTTAGAGCTGTCACGCATGAATCCCTCCATGTGAGCGCGTGTTTGTCTGTCTCTGCAGTAATAGCTATGTGTGGTCTACGTAATCCTGCTCTTTGTTGTCTATTTCTGTTGCAATTCATCTAGAAAGCGCAGCCATGACTGACAGCTTGCAAAACATGAAACGTGATCTAGCACGGCTCATTGAGAAAAGCATGATATAGTATTTATATGGGATGAAGGTTTTGAATTAGCAAAAAAGAGGAAGAGTTTGGAGGAATCTAAAGAAGGATATTCATCTTCCAGTTGAAGGAGAAACTGTGATGAATGTTTATCGAGTCAGTGGGCCATTTTCTAATCTTTCTTCTTCATGAAAGCCCCTGCAGTGCACTAAAGCTTCAGCTAAAACAGCTGTTCTTCCCAAATGCTGAGTTAGTTCACTGTTGTGCCATTTTCAAATCAAGTTAAGTTCATTCCTCTAACAAGTAAGCTAAATCTGTGTCGATGAAAGACCAGGGATGTCACAGCCATTGCCTGGCATTAGGCGTATAATGGCCTGGATTTACTGCTAAAACGGCAGCTTCACATGGGCAGCTTCTGGTGACTTCAGTGGGCTGCAAACCTTAGCAGTGGAGCTACAAACTGCATCAATGCAATGAACTTCCTCCTCAGTTTATTTCACACAAATCAAAATCTAATCATTTATTTAACAAATTAATGATCACTCAATATATTATTTTGCAGTGTTGCCAACAGATCAGAGCTACTCAGGCTGTGTATTTTAAGCACCATAAATATTTGATGCTAAGCAGTATTTCACATCCTGAGCTTCAAACTGGTCTGAACAGAAAACTTCAGCATTGGCCTGAGATTGTAGAAATTCCTAGTGCAGCATATTACTGTAAAAAATAAAAATAAAATCAAGTGTGGATGCAAGCAGAAGCATTTCTATGCTCACCCCTCGGATTGTTTGTTTTTCATGTTTCACTTCAGCCACTTGAACTTCAGGATGACAGATAGCTTTCAAGATTATGGGTTTTCATTTTCATGCCTTGGATAAACTTTTCGTCACATCATATGTCTTTGACTGTGGTCCTTCAATTCATACAATTTTAAAGTAAGAATATGTAGTGAAATCAGCTGCCAAAAATAAAAAGAGGACTTTGCTATTTGTGAGTCTCAGCAGTCGTCAACTGGAAGGAAATGAAGTGGTGTGATACCAACTGAGAGACAGCGGTCTTAATGTTTACTATTAACTTCAACTGTTTTCTGATGTGCTTAGCGTTAGCTGGCACTAATTTCATCTATTGTTTAGTGTTAGTGGAGCTAAGATTTTTGTTTAGAGAATTAGTGAACCTAACTTTCTATCTGCTGCCAACTACTGGCAATAATTACTGCCCGTTTTAGTGCATTTAAATCTTAGATTTAAAGACCCAAAGGTCATTTAACCCACACAAAATAATCAATTACTATATTTACAGACATTATTGGCATGGAAATTTGCTTCCACCCAGATAAATGCAGCATAAATTATTAAACTGATGATGTTGAATTATCCTTTCTAGTAGTAACCATGTAGATGTTCTTCTGTCTGAATGCATTTAGTTCTCTTATATCCCAGATTTAGAATTATAATAACATTTTCAATCTCTTTTTAATTTAACATCCAGAATCATTCAGTGCAAATTTAAATGTTGACTCTTGATCAATAAAAAATGCACAATTAAAGTTTTAAAATCCATGTGACCAGTTAAACAGGCAGTCCTGGGCAGACACTTAGTTTGCTTGTGCTTTGGGCTGGCCCTAAAAAAACTCCTACAAACGTTTGACCTGCTTTGCTTTCTATTTTTGAAGATTTAAGCATATTTTTTCAAGAAATTCTGCCACCGTGGAAGATTGTAAAACTATAGTGCTACTAAACATTACCTCTGTAATAACATATAACTGGTTAAAAAAATTTCATTGCAACTACAGCTCTGTTTAATCAGTTGTGAGTAAATCAACTCATCATGTAAACCGATGAATAGATAATGCCGGACGCACTAATTTTCTTTTTGCAATGTTGATCTGCAGAAGAGAAGACTGAAAACATTCATGTCACATGCTCATAAAAAATCTTAAAAATAGTTCCTGATTGAAACCATTATAGAGAAAAATCCAATGTTAATATTACTCTCCAGCAAATACACCTGTCCCTTTCCATGCATGTTTGGTGGTTGGCGTTACTGAGGAAGCGCCAGAACGTTGAAGCTGAGCCAACATCCCATAAAGCTTCTCAAATATAAATTTGTTGTTCATTTAAAACTCACGATTCTTCCTTCTTGGGTTTCTGCTGCAGAGAAACCACTTTTAAATGAAATTTCATGTAGAACTAAATTGAATCAGGATGACACTAATTCCAGATTAAAAAGCAGGTTTGCAGCTACTGTACATTGAGAAAATATTCACACAGTCAAGCCCAAATGATTCACACGCCTGGGAGGTTTAAGTTTGAAGTAATCTCTTAATTTGACCTACGTCTTTCTTCTGACTGGCAGTAGCAGCCGAATCCAAGTCCAGACTTGAATCTGGTTGAGATTCTGAGCAGGGAGGTAAAGATTAGGATGATGGAATGGAGGCCTTTCAACTCCAAGAACGTAAAGCTTAAAATACCAGTGGAAACCTACAAATAGGGGAAAAGCAAAGGGTTTGGTTACTGTATTCCCTATGCAGATTTTCCATTCAATGTTGAGGCAAAAATAATGTTGAAATCAATAAAACTGTTCCCAAATTGTTTCTCCTTTTACATGTTATTATCTACTAGAAACAAACTTTTTGGTCAAATAAAAATAAATCTAAACCTCTGGAATGTTTTTATTTTACAATGTGCCATTTTTCAACAGCAAATTTAATAAATTGAATTAAAATTTTGTGTGAAAAGCCAACACAAGATAAAGAAGAAGAAAATGACAGATATTTATTCCTAACAAAATCCTGAAACCTTTTGAAATTAATAAAGTTTTAAGTTTTTGAAAAGTCACTCAAATCTCATGAGACCAACATTGAACTTTTTGGCCTACATCTAAATGTCTGTGTGGAGGACAACGTACAACACCCTCACTTCACAGTGCAGTGAACACACAATTCCCATATCAGAACACAGTGATGGCAGCATTATGCTGTGGGGATGAATCCTGGAAGAAAACCAGCTAGAAGCTTCAGAAGACCTGAGACTGAAGTGGAGGTTCAGCTTCCAGCAAGACAAACACTGTAAACATACAGTAATAAATATTATGGATGGTTTAGATCAAAGCAAATTCCCGGTACAAATGGCCTAGTCAAAGTCCAGACCTAAATTTATTCGGGGAGTTGTAGCAAGACTTGTTTCAGATAATCTCCATCTGATGGAGCTTGAGCTGTTTTGGAAAGAAGAAATGAAATGTTTCAGTCTGCAGATGATTACAGTTGATGGGAACAAAGAAACCAGAGCTGCAGCTGAACCTGGAGTGAAAGTTGATCCTGAAAACTCTCGACTCGAGACAATGAATCCATACGTTCGCATTTTTTATTCGTAATAATGCTTTTTTTTTCCAATCACTTCACAATTTTGCAGTACTTTGAATTGCTCCATTCCAAAGTCCCTATAAAATACATGTTCTGGTGTAGATAAATATCAAAGTTTGTGGTTGTAATGAGAAAAAATATTTACGAATGATGAGCAGTTTTGAATATTATTTCTGTGGTATGGCACTCAATAGTTGAACATTTCAGCTAAATTGATGTTTTTTTTTTAAGATTTCAAACACATACTGACTAATAAAACAACTTTATTGAAATCTAGATGTTGTGAAATACAAGACAACACCTATGACCTTTTTCAACCAAACACTTTTATTTAAGTATGTATTTACTCATTCACTGCCATTGATACCATTTCTTAATAAAAAGAAAGTGTAGAAATATTCAAACATGAATTTTAAATGTCAAGCTGCTTCATTGGGAATATGTGGAGAAAGTTGCACAAACGTTGTGTGTCCTCGCTGAATCAGAAGAACTGTTGTGACAATTCAGATACATGGATCAAAAAATCCCCAAACGGGACTCATAGATTTTCCTTTTGGGTATTTTTTCCCATAAAGAGTCAGTGGTTCAGTCACATGGATGGGAAAAAGCAGCAGAAGTCCAAGAGCATGTCCGACACGATGGTTCCCCGTCGCTCCAACACCTGTCTGGACTCGTCTCGCTCTTCCTCCTGCTGATTCGGTATCTCCATGCTGCTGCTCTCCAGCTCCTAAACGTTTAGCTTTGCTCTTTAAGGTAAAACCAGGTCATCTAAACTAGTCTCTGATTAATGGCACCAGCAGAAGAACCGAAGATGAAGAGAACAAATTTATTTTCAATTTCGTAAAAAGAAGGTTTGGAAAGTCATTTTAGCTGCCAAGAGCGTTCATTTGATCTGAACAGACCTTCAATAAAACAAATTCTTTCGACAGCCATTTTGGTTCTTCCCTGGAAAGCATTCCCCAAACAACCTTTTGTCTTCTGTCCTGACAGCCCACAACTGTTTTCCTAACCGCTCAATATGTAAAATATTACCAGGGACGAAATCTGGTCAGCCTGACCACATGAAGCCGCCGTTCCTCACAGCTGAGGACAGATTCGGCCTTTTGGTTTCAACAGCTTTTATCCCAGATTCCTGTCCAAGTTGGTGCAAAGCAACTTCAGAGTCATGGTAGCTGCCAACTGTGACAGATGTATGCAGAATATACTCTGATGCTGCTGCAGAATTAGTTTCTTAGTTTCTTGTTTCTTTAAATGAGAGACATTGGGGTGTGGTGTTTGCATCAAGATTTTAATTAACTGTAGGAAAAACATAAAATAAAAGAAACTTCATAAATGGAAATGGGATAGGATGATTATAGGGACAAATGTCCAATTTTTTTCTATGATACAACACTGCCACCTAGTGGGATTTATGGTAACTTGTTGCTAAAACTTGGATAAATCAAAGGATAAAGGCACTTCTTCTTGTTGGACTCAGTTCTGGTGTAACCTTCTTTTAGAAGTCTTCCAGACTGATGACTGTTCGGATACTAAACAAATAAAAACAAGAAGAATGATGAGGATAACTCAAGGTTTCCTTCTATAGAAGAAAATACATTACAGCAGATATTAAAAAATAAACTACATGGTGCATTAAAAAGATGACTTTAATGAGTTTGAAATTCATTCAGCTTTTTAAATTGAATAAGAAAGTTATGAGATTTACTCAGTGATTTAAGTCTGGCTCTGCTCTGTAGCTACCTAAACATAGGAAACAACCACCAACTGAGTGATAACTGAACAGCTTCTCACCTTCGGCCGTTCCTCAGCAGGTCGAAGGCCTCATTGATCTGAGCCAGCGGGAGATTATGACTGATAAATTCATCCAGCTTCAGTTTCTTCTGCATGTAATCCTCCACCAGTTGAGGAACATCCTTCGCACTTTTCCAACCTTCACAACAAAACAACATCAAGTTTGATTAGGTCAGTTTCCAAAAGTATTCACACCCCAGAAGTAAAAGTACAAACCTAAAATAAGGCTGGAATGTTTTGAACTGACCACCAAAGTAAGTCCCCTTCAGGGTGCGCCCCATCAGGATCTTTATAACCTGGACGCTCATCGACTCCGTCTCTGTCCACCCAGCAATGATGCATGTTCCGCAGCCGTCTCTTGTGGACTCCAGCGCAGCACTCTAGAAACAGCAAAACAAGCCCAGTCTTTCGTAAACTACATGGAAAACCTCAAATCTTAGTTTTCTCAGTTAAAAAAAAAGAAGAAATGACATCCACCATGGTCACTGGATTGCCAACACATTCTAGAGCATAGTCCACCCCCCCGTTGGTCTTCTCCACCAGAATATCCTGGATGTCCTTGTTTTCATAATCTCTGGGGTTGATGCACTCTGTCGCTCCAAACTCTCTGGCTTTCTGGAACTTGTCAGGGTTGATGTCGACCGCGATGATCCTACTGGCCTTGGCCGCCTGGCAGCCCATAACGGCGGCCAGACCCACCGCTCCGAGCCCAAACACAGCACAGCAGGAACCTTTCTCAACCTGGATGGAAACGCAAAGATGAATGAAAAAGAAATTTAACTTCCATAAGAAACAATAAGATATTGGACAATAATTTGGACCAAAATACTCAACAGAAATGGCCATATGTAACTTTACAGAGTCCATAAAAAAAATCATCTGGATTGAGATAAATTTGTTCAACCACTAGATTTGCCCACAAGCATCAAAACTGTTTCAAATCGTACCGTGTTTCTCGACAGAAACGTGCTAAAACAGGGGAAAAACGCAGATCTACTGGGGTGGCATGGGGTGGATGTGCCACCCCAACTGAGAGCCTTGCCTCCCCTGTTACCACCCCAGCTGGCGACAATGAATTCAATAAATAGTTATGGCAAATCAGACATTAAGCGCATGAATATCATTTTTCCGACAACACTGAATGCAATCCAATGTAATCTGAGTGGCACGTGCGAGAGGACAGAGCGAGGCAGCATATATATATATATATATATAAAAATATATATATATATATATATATTTTATATATATATATATATTCATTATGCAAGAATTCTGACCTTTAACAAGTTCTTAGTCGTTTTTCCCTAACATGAATCCAGGAAGGAAGGACGAAAGGACAGAGTGGAAGGACATAGCAGTAGAACTATATATATATATATATATATATATATATATATATATATATATAATATATATATATATATATATATATATATATATATATATATATATATGCTGCCTCGCTATGTCTGCCTCGCTCTCACTGGACTGGACGTCACGTGACCACAAACGCGCCATTTCCGTCCATCGAGTCAGAAATATCGGAAAATACCACAATCACGCACAGAATCTGAAAAAAGGACGCAACATTTAGCGGCTAACCAACTAACCGACCCTATGGCCGCCGTAGATAACAAGGTTCACATTTAACAGGTGAGGAAAAAGTTTTAATTTAGAGAAAATATTGAAAAAGTGAGCTAGTTATGTTAGCCTAACTGTTGCTAGCCTGATAACCTCAGCATCCTGCGCAGTTCGGCGTGTTCTGGTTCCGTTAGCTCTAAAATAGAACAACCTGCGGACCGAGTCATGAGAAGTTTAACTCAGCTAATCAACCACCGCTGTGTTCATATCAATAATGTCAATGTAGACATCAAGTCTGACAACATAATGCAACAAACAGACTGGATGTTCTTGTGCTTTTGGGTACTTTTTTGTGTGGGAAATGATTGTTTTTGGTATCGATTTTTCTGACTGAACATAATCTCTGCTTTATCTGCTCATTGAGCTGGTGTCTGTCGGTTCCGCGTGTAGGGTAAAATGGACACAGAGCGAGAAAAATCAGGATAGAAATAGTTTTGTCTAGTTTTGTCTGCACCTGTTTATCAGCCTTAATTCCCTCTGTTGGTAAAACGTGACCATATTTATACCAGTTGTGTGATGTTGGTGTACCACAAGGGTGGATGCTTGGGCTCTGCTTTTCTGCTCGCTGTACGCAGATGATGCAGTCATTTATCTAACTACAGATTCTCCTTATCAGGCTGCAGAATTTGAATGATTTTCTAAAAACAATATTTAAGTGGCCAATCAGGAACTCAGTCACAGGATCTCAGTGATGAAAGATTTTGTAAGACATGTTGTCAGACACGAGGCTTTTCTCTGAAGCACTGGCTGAAAAAACATCACTGTGGTTCATGGAAAATTTGATCTTGATGGGTGTTTAATGTATTTTACTGGTGCAATGTAGCTTGTAATTTTCTGTTACTTCTTTGTATGTGTTATAAATGTTTTTGTTTTTTTGGATCAAAAAGCCTAACCAGGGATGAAGCTGTGAATCAGTCTGCCTAGAAGCCAGTTGGACTGTCCCTTTAAAAATAAACATAAAATAAAATAATAATATGAACAGTAATGCAGAGGTAATACCTCTTTGAGCTCCTTTTTACAAGAATATTCTAAGGAAGCTCGGATGGTCTACTGCCATCTTGTGGAGAATTTTCATAATAGCAACCATTCAATAAGAATGGTTGCAACCAAATTCTGGTTTTTATATTTTCATTATGCAAGAATTCTGACCTTTAACAAGTTCTTAGTCGTTTTTCCCTAACATGAATCCAGGAAGGAAGGACGAAAGGAAGAAAAAAGAAAAGGACAGAGTGGAAGGACATAGCAGTAGAACTAAAGAAAGAAGAAAACTTGGGAAGAAATGAATAGGCAAAAGGAAAAACAGGAGAAAAAAGTAGGGAAAGTACAACAAAAGAGGAAAGATGGAAAAATATAAGAAGAAAAGACAGAGGGACGGGCATAAGGGAAACCAGATAGTTTCAGTCCTCTCACCTTCCCGGTTTTAACAGCCGCACCGTAACCGGTGGAGACGCCGCAGCCCAGCAGGCAGACTTTATCCAGCGGAGCCTTGGGGTCTATCTTAGCCAGAGACGTATCGGGGACCACCGTGTACTGACAAAAGGAGCTGACACCCAGGAACTGATAGACCTGCTGACCTCTGCAAGATATTCTACTCGTCCCGTCAGCCAAAACACCCGCTTGTGTGTTTTCCCTGTCAGTGACATGAAGATCAGAATGTAATTAAAGTCTGTGGGGGAAACATCATGCATGTGATCGTGTGTGTGACTAAGAAATCACCAGTTCTTCTTGCAGAGGTTTGTTTTCTCACATTTACACTGGTCACACTCTTCACAAAACGGAAGAAAAAGAGGAATAACTTTATCCCCTGACAACAAAATGAAAGCAAAAGCATTAAGAGGATCCAATGGGCAAAAAAGATGAAGTAAAACCAAAATCCGACTCTGATATTTGTGCGTTTTACTGTGAAAATTACCCGGTGCAAACTTTGTTACGTCTGGGCCAACACTCTCCACTACACCTGCCGCTTCATGGCCGAGAACCAGAGGGAAAGGTCGGGCGTGCGTTCCTCTTCCGGCTTCATACAGGTATTCACAGTCTGTGTGGCACACGCCTGAGGCAACAACCTACAGAAACAAAACATTGAAATAACTCAGCAGTTTCATAAAGAGGAAGCTGAAATTTTCCCAGCATGATTATCAAGTCTAGGCAGTAACAACTTTTATCTTTCAGATATGGTTTTGCATAACTTTGAGATTATATTTAAATGACATACAAAGTCAGCATGAAAATCTCTAAAACTGCATCAGAAACTAATTCAAACGTGTGTGTCAGGGTGTGTACCTTGATCCGGACTTCATGAGCCTTAGGAGGGGCAACATCCACTTCTTCAATAGAAAGAGGTTTCCTGGGCTCCCAAGCAACAGCAGCCAGGCATCTGATTACCTGGAAACAATTAAATATGCTAAATGATTTTCCTTCCCACACCCTGAAGCTGTAAAGACTGGATGAGGAACAACCAGCAGTTGATGAAGTCCATATCAGACTTACACCAACCCTCTGTCCAGGGATGTTTCGCAGTTTTTAAACCTCTAGTTAAAAATCTGAAAAGATTGGATTACCCAGTTTCGCCTCATCTGGACCAATATGTTTATATCATATAGATGAAAAGCTTTAGTGTTTTATGAAGCGTCATCTCACCTTAACTAACTATAAAAGTTAAATAATCGAAGATTTTCTAAGTTCCTAGACTCTATTTGATTTATATCTCCATGGTGGATTCGTCTATATGGACACGTCGATCATGTGAAATAAATAGGAAGTCGCGAGTCGGATGTAAACTTCAGCATCACGTCGGTAATTTATTTATTTTATTTATTTATTGTTGAAATAAAAGAAAGATAAAATTGTGCTTTCTTACCTGTCCTGTTGTTGCCATTATTAAGTGAAAAGAAGGTCTGGAAGTGAACAAATATTAGAAAAGAAACTTGAAAAACTGTCACTTAACCAGTCGCAAATGTCAAAAGAGGAAAAAAAAATGAGGCGTGATGACGCCCAGGAGGTTTACGACACTTTCCGATACACTTTATGTTTACGGCAGTCTGTCACACGTGTTGTCGCATGGAGATTGTAGTCGGTAGAGCGCTCAGCGAGTAATACAAGTATGTGTTCTAATAAATGTTTTAGGTTTTTTTGTTTTTGTTTTTACATCTTAATTGATGCTATAACATGTTTTTAGTTTAATAATCTTGTTTTGTGAGTGTGCACTAGGAAGCTAACTAGTTAGCAGAAGCTAATACTGTTAGCTTATGTGTTGATACTACTGAGTTCAACTTCCACTGTTTTGCTTTGCTTCTCATTTCTTTCCATTTCAAACCTTCAAAGAAAAATGTCGTTCAGAGGCGGAGGTGGACGTGGTGGGGGTTTTAACCGAGGAGGTGGAGGTTTTAACCGAGGCGGGGGCTTCAGAGGCGGTGGAGGATTCGGCCGAGGTGGTGGAAGAGGCGGCTTCAACAGGCAGCAGGACTTCGGTCCTCCGGAGCGAGTTGTGGGTAAGATCAGTTCAACCAGCGGAGGTAGCACAGCGCTGAGGAGACGGATGAGATGGCACATTACGTCTGTTTTAAAACCTGACGTTATGGGCTAATTCTGGTTGGTTTTACATTGAATTCAAAAATATTTTATTTAGTTAATTAAATTAACTCCTATCATCCACGAGTTTGCAGTTGCTTGTGGATGTTGTGAGCAGGAAGATTTTCTGGTATCAGTCAGTCTTGGAGCAGCTTTCACCAACTGAAGACTGTTGGTGTATGAAAGTGATGTTTGTGATCTTATGCTAACAGCTGGATATTCGGGCAGCAGAGCCTTTATTTGCGTGTCATCCAGTAACATGTGCTGGATGACACTATCAGTTGTTAGGCGCTAATTCATCTCATTTGCTTTTGCTGCTCCATGCATCCATAAAGCCTCCTTTTTAATCCCACTGGGATTTGGGGTTTTTGAGATTAGAAAATTCAGCTGTTATTTAAGCTTTTGATTGTTAATCATCTGTACATTTGAAGTTTTGAAAGGTGATGTTTTCTATGTAAATCTGAATGCCCTAAAGAGGAGCTGATTATAAAAGCTGATTCTGATTCAAAATAAAGTCCCATAAAATATCTCTGAGATTGAATCTGTTTCATGACCATAAAATATGAAATGGTTTTAAATGGAACTAAAAGTGGATAAAATGGGAACCTGCGGGTAAAGGCTGAAATGGAAGTGGGTGCTGTCAGGTCAACTTGAACCTGGTGGGAACATGTCGCACGTATGTGCTGGTGTGTCTGCAGATCTCTAAATACCTGGAGTATTGCAAATCATGAATTTTTCTTTTCTTTAATCAATTATCCACCATTACCTTTTGGTCTGAATAATTTCCCAGGACATAAATGTTGCTGCAAGTAGCTGACTCTGTGGTGCAGGTGTGTCTAGTTTTTAGATATTAATAATTTAATGTCATAATGACTTTGTCTCTGCAGCTCTGGGAGAATTCATGCACCCCTGTGAAGATGACATCGTGTGTAAGTGTACGACAGAGGAAAACAAAGTTCCCTATTTCAACGCTCCGGTCTACTTGGAAAACAAGGAGCAGATCGGGAAAGTGGACGAGATATTCGGACAGCTCCGAGACTTCGTATCCTTTCTGTTGTCATAATTTTAGGCTCTGAACCCTCTGAGGATTTTCATGTGTTGTATCCAGGATTGATTTCTTTCTTTAACCGATTCCTGCAGTATTTTTCAGTAAAGCTTTCTGAAAACATGAAAGCATCTTCGTTCAAGAAAATGCAGAAGGTAAAGCCTCATTTCCAGACTGTGATTGATTGTTTTCCAGACTGAACTGATTCTAAATCCCTTCGGTTTTAGTTTTATATTGATCCGATGAAGCTGCTGCCGCTGCAGAGGTTCCTGCCAAGACCTCCAGGAGAAAAGGGGCCGCCGAGGGGGGGTGGAAGAGGAGGGGGCAGAGGTGGAGGAAGAGGAGGTGGGCGTGGAGGTTGGTCTAGTCTGTCATGTTCAATCATCTGTTGAATGCTGGTGCTGCTTCTTGGGTATGTACATAGCCAGGACCATCATGTATGATTAGTTCCTGTTTTTGCTTCTGTCAGGCGGTTTTAGAGGCGGGAGGGGAGGAGGCGGCCGAGGAGGGTTTGGAGGAGGTCGAGGAGGTGGAGGCGGCTTCAGGGGGAGAGGAGGAGGAGGACGGGGATTCAGAGGTCAGAACTTCTCTCTGTACAGAATATTTGTCACCTGGTGTCAAACTGTCGCTGGGTGTCCTCATGGTTTGTTCTGATGTTCAGGTGGAAGATGAGCGCACTCTGCTGGCCTGGAGTCAACATCACATTGAACCTCCGACTAGAAGCTTTCAGTCTGCTGGATTCTGGCCTCACAGACTCATTAGGACTTTAACTGATGAGTTTTCTTCATCTGTTGTCTGGATGACTGATGGATTTTATATATATTTTTTACCATTATTTAAAAGGTTCATGTGTTTGTTTCTGACACAGAGGAGACCCTTTACTTTTGTTCTAATATTCTGTCTTGATATAATTCTAGGAAATGCTTTCATAAAACTTCCATGTGGAGATTTTTCTAACAGAGAAATCTAAGTGTATTCAGCATGGGCTGGAAACATTTTAATAGAAATATTTCATAAACTGAATTTTTGTTAAAGGCCTTGATTAAAAAAATGTCTGTCTGGGAGTGTTATGCTGTTTTTCTTTTTTTTATTTTGAGGGTTTTAAAGCATAAATGCAGGGATTTTTCCTTACTTGTAATAAGATATAAATAGAAGAGAGTGCAAAACAGTTCACAGATAATTTACCATTTAGTTGCATGATTTGAATGTTAGTGTAATTATCTGCATAATGTCTGACAATTGATGCACATGAATTGGTAACACCTGCATGGACAGAATGATTTGAGAGGAAATGGTTTGTTGAAAGGTCCTGCTGGAAGCAGAAAGAACGAGATGGAAAATGACACTATAGAGGTGAATAGACTCAGAGCAGAAAATTTATTTTAGAACAGTTTATATAAACTGGATATTAATGTCCTGGAGCCTCTTCAGTGGGCATCAAGTACAGTTGGATTATTTGTAAGGGAAATGTTGAAACTAACGGAGCTAACAGAAGTAAATTCAAAACGAATATAGAGCAAAAAGCACAGACAAAACCACAACGAAGTAAAGCAAAAGAGTTTTATTTTCATCAATTTGTTTTCTATTGTAAATCCTAGAGATGTATTTTTAGCCCCAATTTAATGACAGGAGGTTTTTAATCTACATTGTCATACAACATTCTGGCTTCCTTTTGATTCAGATCCAAACTTATGTAGATTCGTTGCGTAAAATCTTATTATTAACAAGTTAAAATGATTTATAACTTCGACCCGGTTTTTGCTGCTTTAACCAAGCTGACGTCATACGCACGCTGAGCGTTCTCGCTTCTGATTGGCGGAAAGGTTGACTCCTTTACGGCTGCTCTGCATCCTCCGCCTCCTCTTTGCAGAAGGATCGAACATGGAGACAGCTGGGAAAGTAAGTTTCCACAAACTAAACCAGAAATATTTCACCTGCATTTTCATTCCGCGTTTAGAAACAAGAGGAGTCCCTTTAAAAGTGTTCGTGTTCATTTAGAGCTTTCTTAGAGCCAAGATGGAGGTTTTTATAGAAGCGACTTGAATGAATCGCAACAAAGAATTTGGGTCCAAACTGAACTGCAGGTCGGTTCCAGCTGGTACTTTCAGGATCCCACCGCATCTGACACTTTAGCGTGGACTCCGTCTTTCCTCCGATTTAAACAAAAGAAATGCAATGAAAACAAATTGAAAGTATTTCTCTGTTGTTGGTGAAATGAGCGTCACGCAGCGCCGTGAACTGCAGAGATTCAATGAAACTGAGCAGCAGCTGCAGGAAAACACAGGAACTGACTGCACTGTGGGACATTTGGCATGCACAGCAGAAGAGGAGGGTCTTGTTCTAGTTGATTAATTCTCAATTTTTTTCCTGCAGGTGATCAAGTGCAAGGCAGCTGTTGCCTGGGAAGCAGGGAAGCCTCTCTCCATTGAGGAGGTGGAGGTTGCTCCACCCAAGGTTCACGAAGTTCGCATTAAGGTGAATTTTAATCAGATTTTAGCCCCATTTTCTAAAGAGGTGCATATTAAAGTAGCAATGCATTCTGATGTCATTTTAGGCCCTTTGCTTTCATTCAGACCTGTCCAGGTTTTGATGTCAGGATAAATATAGAAAATGTTCACGAGGAGTAAATTTCTGCCAAAAACTCAGAAATGTCTTAGTTAATTTTAAACATTTACAAGAAAAAAACAGTTTGTTGTCTGATGTCCAGAAGTTGTAAAGTCAGAAAAAAAACGTTTTCCATGATTCAAGGCATACATCCATAATATTAAAACTATCATAAATGTACTTTATGATACATTATCATTAATTACTGACTTTATCATTTCTGACACTATAAAGTCTAAAATTACTGACAAAAATGCCAGAAGTTCTCTTAAGAATAAAGTGTTAAATTTCTAATTTGGGCTTCTGGATATTTTCTGAGGTGTAAGTGGAAGGAAGATCCAGCCTCTTCCTCCATCAGAACCTCATCTTCCAGATCCAGACTCACTGCAAACGCCTCAGACAGAATCCAGAATATCACCTGCTCTTTACTCATAAGCTCACAACCCAGCACAGAAACCCTTTTAAAATATACTGATACCTCAGGCTGCATCAAATTCTGACATTTATCAAGTATTCTTACACTAAAGACCACAGTTTCCATTTTAAGACTTTTTACTCTCAAAGCAGAATATTTCTTATTTCACTTTTTGTTGCTCTTTGAATTATTAAAGTATATTATTATGTTTTATGGTTTTAACTTATTGGTTGCTACTTTGATGTTGACACAGCACACAAACTGAAACTGTAAAAGAGTCATAAAGTTCTGCTAAATAATGTCTTTCCTACTGTAATGTAATCATTTGTTCTGCCCTTTAAGTTGGTTAATATTTGAGATATGAAAGGCTCATAATGTGCTGCTAAACCTCCTAGGTTCTTGCTACTGGGGTTTGTCACACCGATGCTTACACCCTGAGTGGCAGTGACCCTGAGGGACTTTTCCCCGTCATCCTCGGTCATGAAGGTGCTGGAACAGTGGAGAGCGTTGGTGAGGGCGTCACTAAGTTCAAACCAGGTAAGGAGCGGTGCACAAATATACATATCAGTGTTATTTGTGTTTTTAATTCAGTTATTCTCTCCCAGGTGATACTGTCATCCCTTTATATGTGCCTCAGTGTGGTGAGTGCAAATTCTGCAAAAACCCAAAGACCAACCTGTGTCAGAAAATCAGGTGACATTTAAAAACACAAACCGGATGGAAACGCAGTCGTTACAAAGAATGTCTCCTCATGCATCCACCATGTTTCTCCACCCTGCAGAGTCACCCAGGGTCAGGGCCTGCTCCCCGACAAGACGTCACGCTTCACCTGCAAAGGGAAGCAGGTGTTCCACTTCATGGGGACCAGCACCTTCTCTGAGTACACGGTGGTGGCCGATATCTCGCTGGCTAAGGTTAATGAGAAAGCTCCCCTGGATAAAGTCTGCCTTCTGGGATGTGGGATTTCCACGGGTTATGGTGCTGCTCTCAACACTGCCAAGGTGAGCCTCAGAGGCGACTTGTCATAAAACTATTATTAATGTTTTATTAATAATAAAACATTATTATTACTAATGTATCCTTGAGGATGTTCAAGGATGTTTTGCATATAAACACAGAAAGCAATAAAAAACAAAATGTAACTTAAAAGAAACAAACAAATTTTGAAATGTGAAAACTTCCACATCTTCCTTGCTTTGATGTTTTCTTGCTAATAGATAATTGTCAAACAATTGAAAATGGATGCAGTATTATTATTGCAGTTTATAGAATAAGCCATTGCAAAATATAATTTAAACAAACCGCAAGAAAAAAATCTTATTAGGTTAAAAGAGTTCAAATCTAAGGTTCTTTAGCTGATTAGTTTCATAATGTGGACCAACAGGAAGCTGCTACTTTACCAAAGGATCATGTAAGTGGGTGCCAAGTGCTGGGCTTCTAGCTGAACTCTATTTATCTGGGTTTTTATTTCATGATGAACTGGATGTACAGCTTTAAATACCAACTGAACAATAAAATAAAACATAGAAAGTACTGGATCAGTGCTTCTGTATTCTGAAACCCCCAGATGGGCATTTCCACTCAGCCTGGCTCTGGCTCTGCTGGATGTTTCTTCCAGTTAAAGGGAAAGTTTCCCTTCTGCTGCCTTTACAGGCGGATTCAGTTTTAGGAAATGTTGCTAGATAAACTACATTTTAAAATGTAACTTATTTTTTTGTTCTTGTGCCATAAGTGGAAATTGGTCAAAAATATTGACATTTAGTGAAAAACAAAGAAAGTGAAACGTTTGATGGGATTTCATCACAAGGAAATGTTTAAAAGTAGGAATGACATTGGAATGGTGAGATACAGAAAAATTAAAAGGAAATTTACTTGAGAAACTAAAATGTAGAAAATCTCCTGGGAGCCAAAGCTATTTTCAGAATATCGTATTTCTTCTCATTCATGAAAAACAATTTCTTGCAGATTTTCAAGTTCTCTTTCAGCTTCTGTGGCCCTGATATTTTGTTACAGAATTATTCATAAAACAAATGCTTTATGTATATTTGATTCCCAGTTTCCATGCAGGCCTGATGTAGTGAATAGGTTGCAAAATGCCCAGAAATATTAAAGTCTTTATCTGTGGCGTTGCATAAGATTTCACCAAGTGAATTTCCTGTCTGCAGTTTGACTCGTCAGACCGTTATCCTATGATTTCAGCCATTAATTCTCAGAAATGTTGGCTCGGTCTCACAGGTCGAACCCGGTTCCACATGCGCTGTGTTCGGACTCGGCGCCGTTGGCTTGGCTGCCATCATGGGCTGCAAGGTTGCTGGAGCAACCAGAATCATTGGTGTGGACCTCAACCCCGACAAGTTTGAGAAGGCCAAAGAGTTTGGAGCCACAGATTTTGTGAACCCGAAGGACCAGAGCAGGCCCATCCAGGAGGTTCTGGTGGAGATGACTGACGGTGGCGTGGATTACTCGTTTGAATGCATCGGAAATGTGCAAGTCATGGTGAGACGTTACTGGTAGAGATGAGATGATAAATGGATTGCAGCAACGTGCCCGTCTCTCCTCAGAGAGCTGCTCTGGAGGCGTGTCATAAAGGCTGGGGGGAGAGCGTCATCATCGGCGTGGCAGGAGCCGGACAGGAGATCTCCACCAGGCCGTTCCAGCTGGTGACAGGCAGAGTGTGGAGAGGCACAGCGTTCGGAGGTGGGGAACACTTCTGAGCCGTTCTGGTGAAGCTTCAGTCTGTAACTGTCCCTCAACAAAGCTGTTGTTCCTCCAGGCTGGAAGAGTGTGGAGAGCGTTCCTAAACTGGTGGAAGAATACATGAGTAAAAAGCTGAAGGTGGACGAGTTTGTTACTCACACTCTGCCTTTTGAGAAGATCAATGAAGCATTTGACCTGATGCACGCCGGAAAGAGGTAGAAAAGCGATCATGCAAATCAGTCAAATCATTTTTCTATGGTTTTTGTTTTAAAATCTTTAGTTTTCTTGCATTGTGCTTTGTCTACATCCTGATGCCTAACCTGCCTTTTTTTGCTTGTTTGTGTCTTTTTTGCAGCATCCGGAGCGTACTGACTTTGTGATCTGCCTAAAACATTTGTCACATCTGGCCTTAAAGAAGCTCCGTCCCATTTCAAGTTCCAGCACTTAGCTCTCCACACTGACTGGGATATAAATTCCAATGATTAGAAAAAGCTCTTTAAAAGCAGAACCGTCAAATCATGAACTGTTTCTTAAAAACCTTATTAAAACATTTAACTTGCTACTTTTGACTGATTTGTCTTTTAATGATGCATTTTCTGACTTGACAAAAACAAGTTTGGTGCCTATTCTTAAAATGAAAAGTACTTGGTGTCTTCGTGAAGCTCACACACCACATGTTGGAGCACCGATACGTAGAAACTGAAAACTTACATTATTAAATGTTGAATTTGTGCCTTATTGTTATGCATCAAAACTATGGGAGGAACTGACCATCCACACATTTACTTCATAGAAAGGAATGAGATGTATAACATTTACTTTGAGTTGACACTGACACTGATATTAACTGGAGTCTTGTCATTATTAGACTCATTTATCTTATTGATCCCATTTCATAGTTAAAGTGAAACAGGAAACTGAAAGTTCAGTGATTGAAGAGTTTAGTTTTTTTCCCTAAAAACTAAACTAATTTGGACTTTGTTCTGATGCTAGAAAACTCCATGTATCACTGAACAGACATAATAGTGCAGACCAGGTGACTCTGGAGCCAGGTGACGTTCAACAAAGCAGCCTTTGCTTCTGGTTCTGCCAGGTTTGGGCCCTCCCTCTGGCAGCCTGTGATTCAACAGATATTCTTCTGCAGTAGATGGATTCTGGGCTTCCCTGTGGGTTCATGAAGGCATCACAAATATAAGGTGTGGAAAGATCAATCTGAAAAACTCCAGAAGGTTAAGGAGAAATATAATCATTAATTTTTGATAAAATGTGTCAAGCTTGTCAACCCATCTTTACCACCTGTTCTGTTAATTTAATCCCTGCAGGAGTGATTTGAATTACATTTCCTGGTTCTCTAATATTAACAAATGAGGTTAGGAATTAATTCAATTATAATTTTCTGAAAGGAATCAATCACTTCTTTTTATTAATGAATTATTGTTTATTAGCACAGCAACAGAGTGTCTTCAGTCAGAGGCTGCTTCAGAATCGTAGTGTTACTGACCACTACAGGAGCATCTGCATCTCTTAGAAGATTGAGTTGCACATTTAAATTACCTCAAAATATTTTTTAACTGGAGTGAACAAGTAGATACATATATTTGCAAAATTCTACAACTTGCAGTATTTTTTTCATTAAATGTGTTTAATATTTTTCTAATAAACCATGCAGAATCATTTCTCAATGCATAACGTTTTTCTCATTGAGTCTGTCAGGTGAACATGTTCCTTTCTCTGTGAACCTGAGTGCGCATGCGCAGCCTGAAACTATTTTAACACACCAAAAAGCAGAAAATTGACTCCAGAAGATGGCGACCGCAGTAATGGTGAGTCCCATTCATCCCTGCTGTGAGCCGAAGCGGGCCAGCTGGGCTGTGACGGGCCTGAAAAGAGACTTTATCCACCACTCAACGCAGATATTGTGAAGGGAAAGTTAGCGGCGGTTCCGAACGGGACCCAGAGAAGCGGATAAAGGTCCAAACTCTGCCAGCTAGCTCGTTAGCTTCACATAAAGTTAGCGTCGCGGATCCAACAAGATGATTTCAATGGACTTGTTCGGTTAAATCACTGCTTGCTGATTTAACCGAACAACTTTTACCAGAACTTGCACCGGAGTTACGTTTGACTCGGAACCGCCCATCAGAGGTTTATTCGGACCGTTTAGAACAGTTGAGTCGGTGAATCAAACTGTTGCTGTTGGAATGAACGTTCTCTCCCGGACCGGAGGGACGTTAACGTTTACATCAGCTGGTTCTGCTCATGTGGGGGTAAAGCTCGGTTCCCGTCACTTCTGGCTAGAAAAATGCTTTTTCAACCAGAAATCTGTGGATTTATTTCATATTTTTCCATCAGTTCATCCGTCCATTCCTTCTGTTCTTTAAAAGTGTTCATTTTCCTCCAAACAGACGAGTTCAGTTCCTGCTAATTCAGAAAAGGAGAACTGTGAGAAAACTCTTCAGAAGGTTGTGAGTCCTGAAGGTTACATCAAACATCCTTTACAGAACAGGTCAGTTCTCATGTCTCTACTTCCAAAGAAGTTCAAAACACATTTTAAAAAAAGGTTTTTTATTAAATTGTCGTGGTGTTCATTTTAACCCTCAACATTGTGAGGTTTATGACCAGAGTATAAAGGTCTGTTTGCCTACTGCTGTGGTTTATGACGGATTGTTTGAACATGACTGGTTTCAGCCCACAATCCAACATGAAAGCTGCACAGATAAAGATTCATGCAGTCTCCAAACATTGCACGCAGCTTCTCTGAGGGTCTTCTTGTTTTTCCAGGTGGGCTCTCTGGTTTTTCAAAAATGACAAAAGCAAAACGTGGCAGGCCAACCTCCGGCTCATCTCCAAGTTCGACACCGTTGAAGACTTCTGGGCGTGAGTAGATCTACCGCTTCAGAATTTATTCTCAAATCAATTCAAAACTCTGTTGAAGATGAATATCAAGAAGGTTCTGCATCAGATGTACATTCTCTATGTAATCTGGTTGTTATCTGCTGGTGTATCTTTAGAAATTGAACTAAAAGAATTTTAATACTTCAGATTGTAATCACAAGAACAGTAAATCAAAAGAGGTCACTGCTAAAGAAATTGGCTGTGCATATGGATAGTTGAGTGGAAGGAAAAATTGTACACGCAGCAAGGTTCTGAAGGAAAACCCAATATGTTTTGTTTTGACCAGCTCCATGGAAATGCTGACTCAATTTTATAGCAGCACCTTGAATCAGGGCAGTTCATCTCATGTTAACAGGGACATTTCCACATTCATGAAATAAAATCCTTTATTTACAGGAGGTTCAGAAAGTATTCAGATTTTCAATACAGCAAATTGTGTATATGTTACACTTTAAGAGTAAAGTTTACACCAAACTTTGTGATTATTTGGGTCCAAATTCCCAAAGTTGCAAGAACGCTGGACATTGGAGTTAAAAATAACACCAGAATAGTGTACAATTCTAACACTTTGAGAGTATAAATGAACTCTTTTACAGATACCATTTGACTCTTTCAAGACTAATAGACCATTAAAATAAACTCTGTCAGAGTGTCTAAACTGTGATACGGAGTACAATGTGCCATGAAAAAGAGTTTATCCAAAATAGAGTTAATTCTAGCTTTAAAGAGTTGGTTGTTGACACTTATATCGTTGCATACTAACGCTCTAAATGCTCTTTTACAAAATACATTTGAAACATTAACTCTTACATTAAAAATAATTACACACGAGCAAACAAAGTCCAAGTATACTTTATTTAAAAAGTTTTAAGTGTACAGTATCTGAAGCAAATTAAAGGACATCCTTAATATAAACATTTCATTTTAAATACCAGAATTGTCTAAACTTGTAGCACTGAATGCATTGTAGTCATTAGCGATTGTGAACAAAGACAATCCCAATCCACAAAATGGGAATGTGTAAAAGAAGACATGCTTCAAAATGGTGCTCTTCAGCAGTATTGTGTAACTTTTTCCTACAACATAAACATCTAAGTTTTTCAAAGAAGTCAATGTGAAACGGAGTCAATGTGAAACAAATCCTGTCTTCTAAGTATCTTTCAACCTCTGAAAAAGTAACAATTTTGAATTTGCTGTGTAAGTTTTAAGCCAGTGATCAAAATAAACAGGTTTAGAGTTTACCACTCTGCAATGATCCAGAATATTTGTTTCAATTCAGTTGAGCTAAGTAAAATTTTTGATGCATCTTTAGTTTAGGTGTCTATTTGATGAGAATGTCGCCTCCTGTTGGCAGGTTGTATAATCACATCCAGCTGTCCAGTAACCTGATGTCTGGCTGTGACTATTCTCTGTTTAAAGTAAGGCTCACCTCTTACACATTAACACAAACATCTGATTCTCTGGACTGAGATTTGTTTTGGACTGTGGTTTAAATTGAAGTATGAGGAATAATAAATGACCTTGAAGTATTTTACAGAGCCGGTTCCCTTTCTGATCTGTTCTGGGTTAATATTTAACCACAGGACGGGATCGAACCCATGTGGGAGGATGAGCGGAACCGAAGAGGCGGCCGCTGGCTGATAACTTTGTCCAAACAGCAACGAAAAAGTGATCTGGACCGGTTCTGGTTAGAGACGGTATGCTGAGCTCTACTAAAACTACTATTTAGTTTTCTTATATGTTGAATTTGAGTGATATTGAATGTGAAGAAATATAATCGGGAACATCATATCACTAATGTTTGAAGGCAAAGTTATAATGATTTAACTTGACAAAACCCTTGTTTTGTGTTCCGCATTGTGAAAACGTCAGATGCTGGCCTCCAGTAGAAACAGTTTGAATCCGTTTTGTCCTCCTGCAGCTTTTGTGTCTGGTGGGTGAAGCGTTTGACGACCACAGCGATGATGTCTGTGGCGCCGTCATTAACGTAAGAGCCAAAGGCGATAAAATCGCAATCTGGACGACAGACTTTGAAAACAAAGACGCCATCACACACATAGGGTGAGCTGCACAAACCGCCATCTTGTTTCACTTGGCCTTCAGGTTTTCAATATTTGCAGTGGTAGGAATACTTCTGCTACTGTCCCAATAGTGCAACAAAGTTTTTGTTAAGCATTTTTGGTTGGATCTGAAACATCAAACAGACTTAATTTGCCCTTTAATTAATTTGTTCAGAAAAATTCTAAAGCGTTAATTTAGTGTAAACTTTCAGTTGAATAAAGTGACATTTGTGAAGATTTTATCCTTAAGAATCATTAAACTAGATGTTTATATTTATGCTCTTATTTTAAAGTGAGACGAATTACAGAGCAGTTAACTTTATTCATGTTTTTATTTCTTTCACAAAACCTTGAGTAAGTTGTGAGTATGCAACAAAAAATGATGAATACAGAATATCACAATAAGAAACAAGCAGGTTGTTGAACACATGCAGAAATTCACAGAAATTGTTGAGAGCCTCATGTTCTCCACAGTGATGCCATGCAGCAAATGACCTGTATTCTCTGCCCAGAATGCATTGCTGTAGACTACATCCTGTTGTGCAGTAAACGGTTAAAAATTTGTTCCTTTTTTTTTCGATTCTTCAATTCTTTTCCTGCTGCTTTTTGTTGCATTGCAGCAATACTGATATTCATCCATTTTAGAATAATATCCAGAGATTTTTCAGCACCGGCTCATATTTGGCTACTTGTTTGTGCTTCTAGGCGAGTTTATAAAGAGAGGCTAGGCGTCCCGCCAAAAGTGATTATTGGCTACCAGTCGCATGCTGATACGGCCACTAAGAGCGGTTCCACCACCAAGAACAAGTTTGTTGCCTGAGGACTCTGGATTCATCCACCACATCTTGTTTTCTGTCGTTTTTTTTCCATGAATGTAACTGAGAAATTAATGTTTTGCTTTTGTTTGACACTTGACCAAAGCTTTAGTTTGTGGAGAGAGAGTGCAATTCAAAAAGGACCACTTCTTTGGACACTTTATTTTGTGGCAGTTTTTGTTGTATAATTTGAATTAAATGTTAAAGGGGAATATAAAAAAATAGTTTGGTTATAAATTACAACTATCTAATGATTGGAAACTTTGCTAAATTGGAGTTTAAGTTTTTCATTTATTTTACAATAGGAAAATGTTCAGTTTTGTAAAGTTAAAGTGATAAAATATGACTTTGTCATCACTGGTGCATGTTGGGTAACTGAGCTCTTTTTATTAAAACTCGTCTGTGTTACACAACTGTTAATTTTAAGCTCCTCCTTCAGAAGCAAAATGTAGTTTCAACGGACCCTGAAACAAACTGCATACATCAACTGCAGAAAATAGGATTTCTGACCAGAACCACAAAAAGAAAGCAGAAAAAGACTTTTCTCTTCAGCATTACATTTTAGTTTTTATTATAATCTTCAGTTCAGACGGCCATCTTCAGTTGTAGAGCACAGAGCTGCAATTCCTTTATCTTGAAGCCTCACTGTTTGTGTAGATGGAAAGGAGATGCTTTCGATGATTCTGACAGATTTAATCTGCAGTGAAAATATAACATTCGTTTGAAGTAAACATTTTTTGAAACTAGAAGGTGCCTTTAGTGTTTAAACCTTGTTTGCATATTTTTATTTTAAAACTTGTGTAAAAAGAACCAATGTAAATAAATTGTACAGTGATGTGTTCTCTCATAAGCAATGGAAATAAATATATGAAGTGGTGTAAAATGTTTCTGGAAGTTTTTAAAAGTCTGGAATTGACCATATTTTTATTTATTTACAGATCGGCATGTTGTGCTGCTACTTCACCATGAAGGGCTGACTTGGGTTAGGGTGTCTGAACAGGAGGTGGACTTCACTTCCTTTTAAGTTGTTTACAATGGATTGAAAATAAAGACTAAAATCTGTTAGAATAAGTGCAAAGCAGCAGGTTTGAAGGAAATCTACTGGGGAATTCCTGACAACTTGTTAGAAGATAAAAAGTCATCAGAGACAAAAGCTTGTTTGTTATTGCATGTTTAGACCACCATGTGTCGCTGTTGAACTGCTTGAGGGAAAACCAAGACAGGTCTGTAGACTGCCATGTAAGGTTGCCCAAAGTGGTCTGGGGGCCATTTGTGACCCTCTAAATTTTAATTTTCTGGCTCACCACATTTATAGAGTGGAGCAAATCTGGCCTGCAATTAGAAAATGTTGATGCAATTTTTATGTTTCAAGGTGTTTTAGAAAGTTTTCCAAAATAAAAGGTTCTTAAAATTAAAAGGTGTTTTCTACTCCACAGATGTTTCCTCATCTATTAACCAGGATTCAGGTCTAAGTTCATTTTTAAAAATGGGACAAGATGTAGAAATAAATATTAACAGGAGATTATAGCCACATGGCTAATTTCTATCTATTCCCATTAGTAGTTTGTTAAAGCAATTAAAAGTAAGGCTAAAAACCACAAAATACAAAAAAAAACTGCTTTATTCTAATTTTAAAATAAAAAGAAACTCAAATATCAACATCTATTCAAAATTGGACCTCGTTACCCTTCCAGTATTAAACATAGTGAGCCAAGTTTTTACTACACAAAAACAATATAGCCCCAGAAAGAACAATGGCTCTGAAAAAGACAAGGGTTTTATTGACTTACCATTCACAAACCACTTCCTGCATTCTTGTTGGTTGTGCAGGAGGCTCAACTTCTGCTTTTCAAAGATGTACAGTTGCATAATTGCATGTCTGTCTGCAGCCATTTTCACAGGCATGTGTAAAGTTGAGTTAGAGGGTTGAGTGGGCGTGGCCAAAAGCAGCTCATATGGATTTAAAGTGACAGAGCCAGAGCAACCTGAAATCTCATTATCTAGGAATGACTGCAAAAAATGTAATGAACGTGGCTTATGTCATTTAAAGATGGCTTATTACAATAAGTCATCTATAAATGACACATAGTGGGGCTGTGACTTCCAATCAGGTGACCTCTGAAGGCAAGGTCAGGGTTGGATTTTATTTATGGCTAAACAAAATACAGAAATCCATAATTAAACATCTACAACTTATTTGGCTGAACTGTAACTTGTTTACAGATGTTTCTTAATGATACTTGTGACGACACTGTGATCACACCAGCATCAGCGGTGAGGTTCAGAATGAGATTCTGCAACTCCTTGATATCGCCCCAGGAGCTGATTAGCACATCTCGTGCTCCTGCAGTGCTAACAGCTGACACATCTGAGGTGTCTGGATTTGACGCTCCTGATGTTCTGATTGATGGAATTGGTGATCCAAGCCGACACCTGTAATTGACAGAGGCATGTGCTGCATCTAAAAGATAATCAGCAACAAGAATGACAATTCTCTTTGAGGGTTTTCCTTTAGTCGTCCGGAACCCGGGGCTCACTTCAAGCTCATGATATTAATCCAATCAGTGACTGATTCAAAGAAAAGCACAAACAACTTGCTGTAATAACAAGTTCTTGTGTATAAGCTTTTTTTGGGATGATGCATTGATAAAATGTCCTTAAAAATGACAGCCACTCTGACATACCTTAGCATTAGGCTTTGGTTCATTTTCATGATTTGATCTTGTTCTGTGGAGAGGTGCTTCAGTGAGCAGGTTCACTGCTCATCTGATAACATGTCTGCTCACTGTTCTGGTTCAGCTTCTATGGCTGCTGAATGTATAGAGACCAACCGACTCACACCTCCAGACTCCGCATGTTAAACCACTGATAGTATTTAAATGATTTCATGTGAAAACAGCTTCTATATGAAACCAAACCACCATGCTGCATGCTTTCTGATATGCAGGATATTTATATCATCTGATTGGTTGCAGGGATTTGCTTCTATTCACTCTTTACGATTTCCAAAATAAAGAAATAACAGGAAGGGTTGAGTGAAGAATGAGCTGGCATTCTGGATTCAGGATAGAGATGTGTACAAGCCAATTACAGCCACAGTGAAAATATAACACTCTGTCTCACCTTTGTTGCTATGGGGAATGGTTAATGATGAAACAGAGTACACTCTTGAGTCAGACTGGCTGATGTATTTCACTTCTGTCCCTTTCCCAACCCGTCCACCAGGAGGCAATGTGGCCACACATGACTTCTACATCAAACATTTGACTCCTTCATAATTGTTTTTTTTTGTTGAGAAAACTGGGTTTCCTGTGAGTGTGTGTCTGTTGCCACAGTTAGGGAAGACAATGACTGTAAATAGCAACTGAGCATCTTTTTTCCCCTCTTTAAACTCCAACCCCATCCAGAAAAAAAAAGGAAACATTTGCATTGCATAACCCCCACACATCATTGCCGCAGGCAACTGACAACCTCCTGCTCTCCAGCCCACCTCTTATACACAAGTGCCAGGTGCAGGAGGTCTAGACTCTGTGACATGACACCACTCCGGATGAGACTGCAGCATGAAAGGTTTTCCAAAGTCCTCGCATCTGCAGGAGCTGTTGACACCCTCTGTGTTTTTTAGGCAGACGTGTCACTGAACGCTTAGCTCACTGTAACTCTAGCAGCTGCTGCTTCGGATTCTACGCTAAGCTCAATAGGGAGATTGTTATCTATGGAGCTGCTAACAGAGTCTTGCATTCAATATTCACAATATTCATGCTGTCATGTTATTCTGAGTATAAATAAATATTTGTCTGATAGAGTACAGTTGGTTTGTAAGCCCAGTAAATCATGAACATCCTTGTTCTTGTGTTGCTATGGAAAAATGAGTGAACAGAAAAAAATATCTTGCTACTCAAAGTGGCTCTACTTTGTTGTTCAAAACATGCCTGCACATATCACTTAACGTCTTAATGTTGTTTCTCTTTAGATTTAGGTCTGGCCTTTGACTGGGCCATTCTCAAGCCTGTCACAATAAGCAATTAATCCATTGCTTATCAGAATTTAAGTTTTGATCACTTTGAATCAAATGAAAAGATGTTCAATAATTAAAGAATAAAACAAATTGAACTGGATGGGTAATTTTCCACCAACATAATAATACAGCAGCCATAAAGGACAAAGTAGTGGATGATATAACTTAGCTGTATATCACTGGATTCTGCAGATTAGTTTGTTACCCAGTCATACTTTGAAAATGTATCATTATAAATATCTCTGAACCATCTGAATCCAGAAAAACCCGATGTCACTCATGTCCTTTGTTTTGTATCCGCTGTGATAACTAAGCCTGGTCGACTCCAAACAAAATACATGTAGATTTATTTCATTTCTTTGTGTTATGAGTCTAAATCAGGGTGTCAGAGTTTAGCACTTGATGGTCAGTGTCCCCCTACATTCAGAAGTTTCTGTGCTCCAGCACAAATTAATTCAATATTTAGATCATCAGAAAAACATAAAAAAAACCCCAAAAACAGTTATTTGGACTTCCACAGAAAAATGGACTCTTTGGGTTTGAACTTCCACAAAGACATTGTTCAATAAAGTGAAGCTGCAGTAATACAGTTTATTCAGCAGTTCACCGAACTGAAGGGAGAAGGGCGCCTTAATGGTTGCCCTTGAACAAAGTGATGGAATCTGCATGCTGATATTAATGTCTGCTCACTGTAAGGTTTCATTTTATGTTATTTTTTTAATGTGAAGAAAATAATTATGCTTTTAACTACTTCATTCTGTTCAGGTTTCTGAAAGGCAGTAAAACGTACAAGAAGGTCATAACAGGTAACCTTCTGTGTGTCGTTTATCACAGGACCAAGACAGCCTCTCTCATGTACATCCTCTCAATACAAGGGTCAAAGGTCAGAGTTTTCTGTTAACTAAGAAAAGCCATGATGTGATATATATTATATAGAAATTCTTTAAAAAAAAATAAAATCAATTTTTAATTCAAATTATTTTTTCCAAAATTTCTGGAAAAAGCTTCAAAGTTTAGGGATAATCCTGAAATACACTGTAATAATGTAATAGCCACTTATTACTCATTTTAATTTACAAATAGTTGTAGAAAAATTACAACTACACTTTGTAGACAAAAATAAATTTTAAGGATTAAAATGAGCCCTTTGATGTCAAAATGCAAGACTCACAAATACAGTTAAAAATACTAATAATAGTGAAATAAAATAGGATATGGCCAAGGACAGAACCTTGTGGTATGCCATTATTCATGACAGGAACTTCCTGTTGAAGTTTTAAAAAAAAAACTTCGCTAAATTTGATTCAAAACATTTTTTGAGTTTATATTTGTACAGAGAGGCCAGTCATACTTTATATCTGAAACTCCACATAATCAGCATGAAAAACATGTTTTCACAACTTAACCAAGCAGCAGTTAGGTTATTTTTTTATGAATGCTTTTGTGACCTGGCCAAGAAGGAACCAACACAATCTGGAGAAAGCTGACAAACATCCTGGTTCGTCCTCGTCAAAAGGAATAAAAATCACTTCCTGGGAAAGTGCTC